ATGCCTCACATTTTTGCATTCAATGCATGTAAATATTTTTGATAGGTGTAAATATTTTAAAATATCTCTTGAATGTGGGCATAGCACCACAAACCACCAGGCAAATGTCTAATTACCCCTCAGTGCATAATATTCATTAGATTTCTAGGATGATATTGAAAGGATTTTTATGTCTGTGTCATATAACCTTTTAAGCTCACTATTGTTCTTTCTCCTTTAATCTCTAAAACTACATCTTTTGCAAAGCTAGAGTTTTGTTTGTTTGTTTGTTTGTTTGTTTGTTTTGGAGAGGTTTTTGCTATAGGGTGCGTGTGCTCACCAGAAATACAGAGAGAGATAGAAAGTGAAAATCACCCCCAAGGGGGGATGGCCATGCCACAATCCCTTCTCCTCCATTCTCCTCTCGGGATCTTGGGCACGCACACACATGCGCCCGGTGTGAGTTTTAAACCACCAGGTCCGGGACTCAAACTGCAGTCGACTCCAATGTAGTCTACATTGAAGTCTAGCGACATGGCCATTATGCCAACTGCTGGTCCCTAGAGTTTTATACTTAAAAAGAAATTTGTTGGGACCAGCATATGTCATTGCATTCACAACAGTGAACTCTCACATGGCTGACTGTGGTTCAAGTCCTGGTCCTGGTGACTTGAAACTCACAAGGTGCATGTCTTCTGCCCAAGATCCTGAAAGGAGAATGAAAGAGAAAGGATTGCAGGGAGTGATTTTTCATTCTCCCTCTCACTGTGTCTATCTATCTGTCTCTCTCTCTCTCAGGCAAGTACATGCACCCTGAGGCAAAAACCCCTTTTAAAAATTGTCATTATTTCTTCTTACTTTGAATATCTCTTTTATTTAACAAATACATGCGTTAACAGATATTGTGCCATATACAAGGAATTTTGTAGTAAACAAGATAGGCCTACTTTTTGTATAGACACAGTATATATATATATATATATGTTTTTGTCATAGAGGATGTGCACTTGCTGGAGACAGTAGGAAAGTGAGTAATCACCTGCAGGGATGATGGCCATGTCACAATCCCCTCTCCTCCGTTCTCCTCTTGGGCTGCTGGGCATGCACACACATCCAGCATGATTTTCAAGCTGCCAGGTCTGAGACCCAAACCACGATCAGTCATGTGGGAGTACAGTGGCTAAGCACCACACTGCCTACCGCTGGTCCCTAAGCACTGTATTTTTAATGCTAATAAGCTTAAAAATAGGGTGCTGCAGCAGCATAGCAGGGATGAAATCAGTTAGTAGAAGATAGAGAAAACTTTATGGAAGAAGCAAAGTATAAATGAAGACCTATCACTGGATGAGGAACAAGCCAAGTAAAAAACTTAGGATCAGAATATTTCAGGAACAGACAAGTATATTTATTGCCAGCGTTTCAATAGCGCACACTCCAGAATGTAAGCTCATGAGAGTAGGGACAACATTTAAGTGTTTATTGTATAAGTCACTATTCTATGTACTCAGGAGTGAAAATGAAACCTGTGTGCCCCATTGCGTTCCAGAAAATTCATTCATTTACTCAATAGTTAAAGATAGTTTTCTCCATAGGAAAAGGTTTAAGAGACTACTTGATAGAAAAATACATTACTAGGGACCAGCAGTTAGCGTAATGGCTATGTCACTGGACTTCCATGTGGTCGACCATGGTTAAAGTCCCAGACCCAGTGGCTTAAACTCACACCGGGCACGTGTATGTGCGTGCCCAAGATCCCAAGAAGAGAATGGAAGAGAAGGGATTGTGGTGTGGCCATTCCCCCTAGGGGGTGATTTCTCACTTTCTGTCTCTCTGACTCTCTCTGTCTTCCTGGTGAGTGCATGCACCCTGTGGCAACAACCTCTCCAAAATCAATAAATAAATAAATAAATAAATAAATACATGACTATAGGAGGAGGTTGGTAGAAACAAAACATAGGATTTATGTTTTGTTGTTTTTCAGTAATTATTAACATAATGATTATATAATGAATAATGATATAGTTTGTAATGCTTAAGCTATTAATTCATAGCTAATAGGTAATATAATTCTTATGACTCATATTAATTTAATAGTGATTAAGCTATTATGTTACATAATTAATTATCTTTAATTAAAGAGACCTATGAGATTGAGGTATGTGTTACTATTAAGAAAGCAGAAAGGAATAGACATTTTAGAGAGAAAGCTGTTTGAATTTGGGGTTTCAGAAGGTTTGAGAGCCGAGGGCCAGGACGTGGTCACATATGTGAATGACTGAAGTAAATTATGAAGACTATTAAAGATGACAAAGGAAAAGACTGAGAGTCTGGTTTTAGAGCAAATTATTGATCGTAGGTGCTGAAATAAAAGAGGAGTCAGTGAGCCTAGTGGTAAAATCCTCAGTGAATATAAATGAGGAGGAAGGAGTAGATCACAGAGTCAACGAGTGGTAAGGGAAATATAGCTGAATAACATGATTTGTGGGTGTTATAAATTTTTTAATAAAAATCATAGGAAATAGAAGTGACCAGAACTTATGTTTAAAATATAGAAATTAAAAAAAAAAAACTTAATACTTCTTTCTAGCCTAAGAAATGTTAAGTGGGGAAGAATTAGCTGCCTATACTTGAGAAGGCTACAACGGAAACGGTGTCTTCAAGACAGTCAGATTTTAGGTAATTTAGGAGACTAAGAGGTTTTAGTGGTAGAGAAATTAATTTACAACTAAATGGAGATATTTCGTGCATAGTGGAATAATGTGGAAGATGAAGGAGAAATGACAACTTGGGTCAGAGTAGAAGATTCACTAAAGAGTCATGGAGATGAGGTACAGACTGGATCTAACATCAGAGAACGTGATCTTAGGCAGTGGCCAAGGTTAACAAAAATATGAGGCATGATCATTCCAGATTCAGCAAACATCATCTCATTTAATAGCTTCATGGGATTCTTCCCCTCTACTACCGTCTCAACTCAAAGTGAACCATAACCTCTGCAGAACTCTGGAGACTATCTTTATGTGTTTTATATAACTATACTTTTATCCTGTTTTATAGTTCCTTCTTTACTCACTCCCATACTTCATTTACTTACCACTACTACAAAAAGGTTCTAAGCATAGCCTCATTTATTCAATTCACACTTAAAGCTCCTAGAGCCAAAGTAGTCTTTGTGAAATAAATTTATTTCATTAAATCACAATCTACAAATCACTGAATGCTAGACATTTTTGTAATTATCCTGATCAGTTAGGTTTTTCTATCTTGCATTACAATTGTTGTAAATGTCTATCATTAGTTTCTAGATTATAAGCTATTTCAGGATAGAAGTCATGTTATTCAAATTGAATATTTACATGATGCTGGTACTAGGCATTCAGTAAAGGTTGAATTGAATTAAATGTCATGGTATAACAGAAATAAAAAAAAAATAGCCACTACTGTCTTATATAATGGATTCAGATAACCTGTGATTCCAGGAATTATTGCTCTGTAATATTAAGATGATGGTATGTATGCCTTATGATAAGAGATACTGACCATTGTTTTGACCAATGTATTCATGCTAGAAGAAATGAATAAATAAATATAAAAACAAAAAGGTGATAGCACATAACAACTCCTTTCCAAATTCTGGTAGAAATTCCCAGCATTGACAGAATTAGTATTTGGTTAACTCAAGCTCTCATATGCTATTAAATAGGAAGGAATCATGAAATAAGAGGGATTTGTAAAAATAAGATATAGAAAAAGCAATTCAATATAGTCATTTCTATTCCTTTAAATACAATTTTATTTAAATAATTTTGCTACCTGATTTATCTTTCTGCACACCAAGGACTATTTCTGCCGATGACAGTAGGGTACTACCTCGTGCCTCCTTCACTGGTGCAGTTGATACTGCTCACGCGCATCATCCACATCCTGCGCCTTGGCAGAGGACCTAAGGTGTTCCATCGTCTGATGCTCCCTTTGATGCTGTCCCTCCCAGCATTGTTGAACATTGGTCTTCTCATCTTCCTTGTCATGTTCATCTATGCCATCTTTGGAATGTACAACTTTGCCTATGTCAAAAAGGAAGCTGGAATTAATGATGTGTCCAACTTTGAAACCTTTGGCAGCAGTATGCTTTGTCTTTTTCAAGTTACAATATTTGCTGGTTGGGATGGAATGCTCGATGCAATTTTTAATAGTAAATGGTCTGACTGTGATCCTGATAAAATTAACCCTGGGACTCAGGTCCGAGGAGACTGTGGTAACCCCTCAGTTGGGATTATTTATTTTGTCAGTTACATCCTCATATCATGGTTGATGATTGTACATATGTACATTGTAGTTGTCATGGAGTTTTTAAATATTGCTTCTAAGAAAAAAGCCAAGACCTTGAGTGAAGATGATTTTAGGAAGTTCTTTCAGGTCTGGAAGAGGTTTGATCCTGACAAGACTCAGTACATGGACTCCAGCAAGCTTTCAGATTTTGCAGCTGCCCTAGATCCTCCTCTTTTTATGGCAAAACCAAACAAGAGCCAACTCATTGCTATGGATCTTCCCATGGCTGTTGGAGATAGAATTCATTGCCTTGACATCCTACTTGCTTTTACAAAGAGAGTTATGGGTAACGATGTGAGGATGGAGAAAATTCTTTCAGAGATAGAATCAGGGTTTATGTTAGCCAAGCCTTTCAAGATCACCTATGAGCCAATTACAACTACTCTAAAACGAAAACAAGAGGCAGTTTCAGCTACCATCATTCAGCGTGCTTATAAAAGTTACCGCTTGAGACAAAATGACAAAAATACATCAGATATTCAAGTAATAGATGACAGAAATGCTCGAGCTACTGAAGAAGGTAGCTGTGCTGATCAAGCTAAGGAGAAGTCGTCTTTTCCAAGTGAGATCTAATTCCAGTTTTCACCTCTTTACCTTCTTCACATAGTCCAAAATTGTTAAAAGCTAAAATAAGAAGCAGATCAGAGGAAGTAGAGATAATAATCAGTTGTTTACAAGCCGTGGACATTAATCTTGTGTTCACAACATTCTATGCCAAACTCACTTTTTTCCCCAAAAAATGCACTTTTATTTCTTCTTTTTGTGTTTTGTGCACATAGGCCATGTGCACTCACTGGACAGAGACAGAGGGAAAGTTAGAAAGTGGTGTGGTGTTGAGGTGCTGAATTCCAATATGGCCAACTGCTGTTTGAGTCTCAGACTCAGAGGCTTGAGAGTCATGCTAAATTCACTTTTTATATGGATATGTTTAGACTAACCAACCTAGGAGTAAAGACAGTCTCTTCAGATTCTTGCAATGAGTTAACAGGGGTTAAGACTGCCATTTGACAATTTATCATTTGTCTTCTCTGAATGGCTTATTCGATGTGCCTCTTCTGGAGGATGGGGAGAGGTGGTGGTAGAGATTAGCAGCAAAGATGGGGCTTCCTTATATATTCTGTGTCTAATTCAATGGGCTTCAAGTCCCCACTATTTGGATTTAGTTACAAATTTACAAGTATTTTCTCAATATGGGATAGTGTTTAAAACGGTGAAATGCCACTAAATCAAAATTTGTCTAGACAAATGCCAATTTGGGAAGAGAGAGGATAGTTCTTTAAAAGGTGCCTTTGAAATTAATCACAGACACTTTTGGACTGATTAAAATAAAACTGAAAAAGATTTGTTGAAGCCCTATTTTCGTTTTTGTTCTTGTTTTATTTTGGTCACTGGGAATTATTTTGCTTTATTGTCCTTGTGCTCTGGTTTCTCTTCTCTTTGGCTAATCATACACCTAAGGTACAGCCTTTCAATAGGCAGAACAAGAAACATAAAGGAAAATGCAGTAATGACATACATGTTCATCATTTTCTTCTTATTTACACTTATACACTATACATTACTGTTATACATTTACACTTATTTATGTGTATACATTTGCTAAAATGATACAATAGATAATATGCTAATAGACTCGATCTTTATTTTAGCATAGAGCTCACATATTTTTTATCATGGCATATGTAAGATCTGACAAATGAATGCCATAATACGAATTAGAAGAGTTGAGAGCTGTCGATATGTCTAGGGATTTTCAGAGTGCCTTGACCCTTAATTGGAAAGCCATGGCCACTTTATTTTTACTGTACTTTATGATTCTTTATAAATTTAGAGAAAGAAAATACTCATTCAATTTATTCGGATTGTAAATTAGGACACAAAAGTGAAAGTTGGTTGTTATTTTATAACTTTAGTAAATGCAAGTTCTAACTCATCTTTTGAAGATTTTTCTTTTCTCATATATGTATGTATATACATATACATATTATTTCTATAAAATGTTTTATATTTGAAAAAATTTAAATCCTAAACATTAGTTTCACTTCTGAAATTATTTTTTAAAAGATAGACAAAAAAGTAGTACTTTTCACCTTTTCAAAATGAAGTCATGACTATATAGTTTGAAATGTTGAGACTTATACCATTCTCATTAAGATTAATTTCAATGTGCCTAAAAAGTCCTAAAGGATTTAGAATGAAAAATCTGTATACTACTGACTTACATGACAAGCTTTAAATATGTTGTATGACATTCAATATCGTTTCTGTATCAGTAATTGTATTCTACTATGGATGCATGATCTTGAGCCTTAACTATTATAATCTATTTCTGCTTCTCAGAAATGTAATAATCTTACCAAGATGCCTTTGGGAGGTCTCCTAAGTACATGCAATTTCAGGGTTTTGTTTTATTCTATAAGTGTTCCTTGTCTTACTCCTCCCATTCGCCATCATGCGATGGAACCAGTGAGGAATCAGTGTTAACCTGGTGACATGGTGACAGCCGGTGCTTTATCTAAGCTGCTCAGTTTTCTATTTCTTGAGAATGCTTTCATGTGGAAACTGCTTCAGATACTTAAACTTAATTGTAATTTACCTCTGTAAATTCTATTTTAGTTTTAAAAGTATAGCTTTTACTTATAAACTGTCAGTTACCTTGCAAAAACTATGTAAAGAATTATTTTTAACAAAGTCTTACAATATATTTTACCTTTTAAGATACTATAGAAAATAATAAACAAAACCTGTTAATCACAGTAAGCCTTGTTTATTATTTTTAATTTCTAGGTCTGTTGACAATTTCATATAGCAGATTTTTTTAAAAAATAAGCTTTACTCTAAATATTTTATTTGGTCTCAAAATTCAAAACTGAAAGCACTTTTGCTTCTTTCAGGTGATTTAATTTTGTAAAATAAATGTTAGCAAACTTAGCAAAGGCTGCTGCACATTAGCAAAGCTTTAAAAACCACTTTCCGTATTAATATCACAATTACAGTTTTACTAAATATATCTCAGTGTTGTTATCATTTACTGTATGGAAGATAATGGCAAAGTTAAATTTATTGGTATGCCACTATTTACCAATTACTGCTTCTTTGATTTTTTTTCTATTTTACTAATTAATGTAATGCACTGGAAAACATCTAAAAAATGATAATAGGTACCATTCACTGAGCCAACCTATGTCCAGCTTTGTGCTACTTGTGATACATGGAGCAGTAATCACTCTCGCTGTAGAAAAAAAAAATTTTTGTAAGTGTTTTGTTATAGGGCACGTGTGCTCTCCAGAAAGACAGAGAGAGAGAGAGAGAGAGAGAGAGAGAAAGCAAGAAATCACCTCCTGGGGTAGGGGGGAATGGCCACACTGCAATCCCTTCTCCTCCATTCTCTTCTCAGGATCTTGGGCACACATGCACATGTGCCCACCATGAATTTAAGCCACTGGGTCCGGGACTCAAACCACAGTTTACTACATGGGAATCTGGCAACATAGCCATTTTGCCAACTGTTGTTCCTGAGATTTAAAAAATAAATAAAAATAGCCTTAGAAAGGATAATAAAAGAGCCAGCAGATGGTGTGGTGCTTAAGATGCTGGACTCCCACATGGCTGACTTCATTCAGTTCAAGTCCCAGATATGGCAACTTGAAAATCGCACAGGCATGAGTGCATGCATGCCTAAAATCCCACGTGGAGAATGCAGAAGATGGGATTGAGGTGTGGCCATCACCCCAGGAAGTGATTTTTCATTTTCTCTCTCATGTCTCTGTCTGTCTCTGGAACCACATGTGCCCTGTGGGGGTTGGGGGAAGCTTTTACATGGCACAGAATTCATGACCAGTCCAGGACTCCAAAGAAGATTACTGTAGTGCCAGGGTCTCAATGATTCCTGTTCTGTCTATCCCATGTTTGGTGGAGGAAATGTTTAAAAAGTAGAGAAAATCCCTGGAAATGGCAAAGGCCCAAGGGATAAAACTATGGAAGTTTATTCATTCAATATTTATTGAATGCTAGAATATAGGCAAACTCAAAGCATCGCCACATATAAAGATAAATCTGAGACTAAAAAGCTTACTATTGAAAGAAACATAAATATGCAGCTAAATAAAATTTATGATAACTTTTATAATATTGGTAAAAGTTTTAGTACTTATTCAGGAAGAAATAATAGGTTTTACACAGAAAAATAGAGATAATGTTAATGAAGTGAAACTGAAGGAAAAAGGATTTTATAAGTTAAGGAAGGCAATTTCATTCACTTTTGGGGAGAAAATTCCATTACGGAAATGCAACCTAGGATTCCAGCTTATAATTTTCAGGCCGGAAAATAAAGAGAGATGCATCAAAGAGAGGATGACGCTTTTATCACAGAGATTAGCTAGAATATTTTAGTAGAGTACTCTGGACACCCTGAAGCCTTCCCCAGACTTGTATTATCTTTCTCTTTGGTTCTTAAGCTCTCTCATTCTTGATTCTTTCTAGGAATTCTGAATCTGCAACCACAGCTATAAATGTCAATAATGAAATCCAGTGAGTGACTGAGTTTTCACATGTAATTTTCACTTTTCAAAAAGAGTTATTTATTTAATTTTACTTATCTATTCTATTTTTAAAATTTTTTTAAAAAAATTTTTGAGAGGTTTTTTGCTATAAGGTGCGTGCGCTCACCAGAAAGACAGAGAGAGACAGAGAGATAGAAAGCGAGAAATCACCCTCCGGGGAGCAGGCCATGCCGCAATCCCTTCTCCTCCATTCGCCTCTCGGGATCTTGGGCACACACGCACACGCGCCCAGCGTGAGTTTAAGCCACCAGGTCCAGGATTCAAACCATGGTCGACTACATGGGAGTTCAGTGACACAGCCATTATGCTAACTGCTGGTCCCCTTATTTATTCTATTTAAAACAAAATTTTTTTGAGATTTTTGGTATAGGGCGTATGAGCTCACCAGAGAGAAAGAAAGAAAGTCACCCCCACCTCCACGGGGGATGGCCACACTGCAATCCCTTCTCCTCCATTCTCCTCTCAGGATTTTGGGCATGCATGCATATGCACCTGGTGCAATTTTTAAGTTGCTGAATCTGGGACCTGTACTGTAGTCAACTATGTAGGATTCCAGCGACCATTACACCATCTGCTGGTTCCAATTTTATTTCTTCTTATTATTATCTTTTAATTTGCTACAGGGCATATATACTCGCCAGTAAAAGAGAGAAAGAGAGAGAAAGAGCAAAGTGAGAAGGCAAGCCACTATATTCAGTTGCCAAACCACAGTCAGTCTTGTAGGAATCTAGCACACCATGCCACCTGCCAGCGCTGGAAATTTTTGTCTTTATATTAGATCAATCATAACTTTCAGACAACGATTCACCTCCTCATCTGATTTAAACCTCTATTTGCATTGATTTAAAAATCACTAAGTAGTTCAAATAATTTTTGTCTCAATTCCAGTCCTAAGATCTATTAACTATCCAGGTGGCACAGTCCTCTTATATGACATTTTCTAGTCTAGGCCAGGTGAAAATCAACATCTTCAAATAACTCATAAGTCTCACTTGCTATTCATGCAGACTTTCTTCACCATCTTCTCTTATTTTCTCCCTCCCTTCTTTTTTATAAAAATCTATTGAGCACTACTTAAGTATTAAGCATAGCAATTTAGAGATAAGTAAGGTTACCCATATCCTTACAAGGTCTTTTTCAGTATGACAGATAAAACATCATGTTGGAACTATTTGTTTACTTGTTTTTTATTATGCAAACCTTCACTGGGGATTAGTAGAAAGTCTTAGTGAATT